TTGGAAACTCAGTTGATGGTATTGGTCACACTTATTTGGAAAGCTGGCACACCTTGTAATGGTAAAGTTTCACTCAAACTTACAATGCATTCCACTGGAAAAAAGGTCTTAAAGAAACAGGAGGGGCTGGGGCTGGGGCTCAGCGGTAGAGTGCTTGTCTACTGGGTTCCATCCTCAGCACCACATAAAAATAAATAAATAAAATAAAGATATTGTGCCCAACTACTACTAAAAAATAAATGTTTTTTTTTAAAGAAACAGGAATATTGATCATCCTAAACCCAAGCTCCCCCTAAATATAAATAGTTTAGTAAATAAGTTTAGACAAAAACTACCAAGTTCCGATGTCTAACATGATTATTCTGCAGGACACAACATTTGTGAGTGGAGAGTGCCTGCCACAATTGGCGGGGGGTGGGGATTTGCAGTTCTACTGTTTATGTTGACCAATTACTGCCCTCCCATGAATGATCTTTTCTAGCTTAATCACTCTTCATTACCCCCCTTCCTGGGTACAGCTGGAAACATGCAGGCCTCTCTGCCCAAGATGCAGATTGATGAACACATGTTTGCAAACCACTTTTATTTTTTAGTTGTAGGTGGACGCAACACCTTTATTTTATTTATATGCGGTGCCTCACACATGCTAGGCAAGTGCTCTACCACTGAGTCCCAGCCCCAGCCCCCCACTTTGTAAACTTAAAGAAGAGTATCTCTAGTTGCAGGAAGGCTAGGGCCCCCTGGAGGGACCTGTGCCTAGACCTGAGAATTCAGGCTTTAGATCTTAAAGCCACAGTTTTCTGACTCTGAAATACTTGTGGCTGGAGCCCAGGAGCACTGGGGACATCTGCAGAGCTTTCCTCTGGGAATTTCACAGCTAGAGCTGCTGTTCAGCCCACAGCTACTTTGTGTTTCAACATACTCTGGCCAGATGTGAAGGGTGGTCTGCTGCCTGCAGATGGAAGGAATGCTCGCTAGACTCATTTCTCATAGTTCTGCTCTTCTGTCCAAGCAGACCAATAAGCTACCAGGTGTTCAGGAAAATGACTGCATTTTGTATCTGAGGGAGCTTCAATACACTGCAGCGATGCAAAACTGTTCTAGAATTCCTCAGCCATGTTTTGCATCTAGGAATACATACATGCTCATTGACCCTCAGTGCCTGACTTCTCCTAGCTGTTTGTTCACAGGGCTGAGGACTTGTCTCCAGGAGGTGGGAATGCTCCTCTCCTGCACACAGCAGGCAAGACTCTTGACTTGCCCATCTGTCAGACATAATCCTCAGTTGCAAAGCTAGCCATCTCCTTGGTCTCTCAGGCCCATATATTAGATGTCCTTCACTGCTGTAGAGTCAGGGTGTCCAGGTTGGGGCTTCTCCAGATCCCCGCGGCAGGCCCATAGAACCCGTCCAAAGATGCCCAGAAGCACTGATCAGACAGCATCTTTGCTGAACATCCTGGGTCTCTGAATGCAGCACAAGTCAGCTGGCTGCCAGAGCCATATAGGAAGGTCTCCTTGTGCATTGAGGACATAAATATGGCAACATGAGGCTGCAAGGTGACTGCCAGGCTTGTGCTAATTCTTTGGCCTCCAAAGCTCATTTCAGTTTTGTTTCATTTTCTTTTTCAACACCCATTTGATGCACTGAGAGCTCCTAATGAGAACAGCAGCCTTAAACTGAATCCACAATTAAGTTGAGAACTTGGGTGTCCAAATGGGCTTGTGTTTCTAAACTGCACATCATCAGCTGGTTTGCAGATGAGCTGTGACTTGCACGGCATTGTTCAAAGTCTTAATGGGTTCACTTTGCTCCCAGGGATCAGCCCTCATGCTCTCCCAGCAGAAAATAATATTGTGAAAAAAATTATTCTGACTGGAAGAAATGAGAAATGGGCATCTGCCAGAGAGTACCGACAGGTACATATCTGAGAGCCGTTTCTCACTTAAAAAGCAAGACGGCGCTGCCAGCCTCCTTGGGCCCTGCTTCCTCCCCACTTAGCCCGTGCAAATCTGCCAGTGAGAATCAGAGAGAACACAGGATGAGTGAGGTTTTGCACCTAGTTTTAAGGTATTCAAGTTGCTGGGTTAGAAAATAGAGATGTTATGAAAAATGTGTCAGCTTGTTTTAATAAATTTAAATTATTGATATCTAAAAGAAAAATGAAGCATATTTTTCTCACACTGAAAAAATTCCCTTGTAATTCTGTTGAGTTCTAATTTAAAATTAGTCATCACATAGATTCAGCTTCTGTAATCCGTTTTTCTGAAACAGAATATGTGGACCCAGGTGGTTTGAACTGCTGCACCTGCTTCTGCATCAGTTTCCCCTTTGAATAAATGGAACAAAGAGAAGGTACGCAGCACTCAGTGCCACCGCTTCCTTAAGGAGTGCGAGGGACCAATGGCTCTCTGAAGGGCTGCAAGAACGCTGCCATCCAAGGACCCTCTCTATGACATCGAGACCACTGGATGTCCCTCAGCATCCTTGTCATCATCAGAGTTGCTGTGATAATTGGAAACAAGGCCAGAGAACCAGGTCGTGGGCCTGGCTTGCCTTCACCTGGTTGCTAGCACAATGGTCAGGCCATCTTTAACCCCTGATTGTAAATGTGAAGCAGCCTTCATCCTCAGACATCCTCCAGGCCCATGTTCCCAAACTGGTCCCTTCTCAGGGAGCCGCTCCCACGCAGTGCCGATGACCGCCAGCAGGTGGCACCACCAAGGCCCCATAGCCAGGAGGGAATCCAAGGGGAGCCCATGCTAACAGTGATGTCATCGGGCCACCTGAGAGCAAATTAGCAAATTACCTTCTCTCCTCCTTGTTTTCATCTGAGCACATCTGACAGCCTGTCTTCTATTAACATGTTTGCCTTCTCAGAGACAATTCTTCTGCGCCACCTCACACTACTTCAGCCCGAGGTATCAATCATGGATTAAGGATAAGATCCTATATAAAAAATAATTATGACTTAATTGTCTCAAAAACTTGGCATGATAATGGACAAATGCAAAGGTCAAAAAAAAAAAACCACTTTGTCTTTCTTGTTTTTCAAGAAATCAAGAGGCCAACAACACAAAGATTGATAGAAATACATTTTCCTTGTTTCTTCCACACATACTAAGCAGTAAAGATGTCAAGTTGACAGGGCTACGGGATGCTTTCTATCTAAAGGTGAACATGCCTTAGTATGCCCACTAATAGAGATGCTAACTTATGGGTAAAAGGAATAACCAGAGACATATAAAACAGGTGATTACAAAGGAGAGTGAACGCTGGAAAAAAACATGTAACCTCAATAGCAATCAAATACAAAGGAAAGCCAATACCAAGACATCATGGCTCACCAACCAAATTATCACACACACCACAAGTATTAATAGCAAGTACGGCATGAGAGTACGGCATGAGAGGAGACAAACTGATCCAACCTTTCCAGAGGATATTCAAGCCTGAGGTTCAGGAGCATTAAAAATATTTACAGCCTTGGGCTGATGTGAACCCTCTTGGAATCAAACCTAAAAAAAAAAAATCTGAAATCAAGAGAAACACAGACAAATTGTCCATTCCAGCAGTACGTGTAAAAGAAAGACTTGGGCACATCCTAAATATTGCACCAGAATAGTTAAGCTATAAAATATTCATGTGATTGCATGCATTAAATCAATGAAATAATGTCTCCGTATACATCTGGAGATATTACTTGGAAGTGTATAAACAGACTGTCTCCAAGTAGTAGGACAAAGGTATTTTCAATGCCATTTTTTCTACTTTCTAGTTTCACATAACAAGTGTGCTTATTTAGTAATAAGGAAACCCCAGAGACTTCATTTATGAAATATATTTACTAAGAGTGTGAGGGCAATACTTAAGGTATTAAGTTGATAAAAGGAAGATATGAATTTTACAAACAACTTGAACTCAGACAATATATACAACAAGGATGATGCTTGAAAAATTGAAAGAGGTTATCATTTGGGGCTGGACTATGCGTGTGGTATGAATGTGTCCCCTCCAAAATTCAGATGCTGAGACTGAGTGCCTAAGGTGATAGGATGACCAGGCAGGTCTTTAGGCAATAATGTTCTTCCCCTCCTGGGTGGGATTAAGGTCCCCATAAAAGAGTCTTGGTTTCCTCTGGTCCTTCTGCCCCTGCCTCTGGAGGACATGGCAACAAGGCACCATCTTGGAAGCAGAGAGCAGCCCTCACCAGAGGCCAAGCCTGACGGGCTGTGGCCTTGACCTCCAGCCTCCAGAACGCTGACAGATGAGCTTCTGCTCTCTCTACACTACCTGGTCTACTGTGACTAAAGACAAAGGGTAATTTTATTCTTTTCTCCATTTCAAGCTTCTACAATAAGCCTGAGTCTCTTTCCGTATCAGAAGAGAATAATTTTTAAGTGAAAAAGTGAGCTGTGACTCATAACTAACACAATAATAAAAATCAACTTGAAATGGGATGTAGACGTAAATGTAAAACCTAAAATCACTGTACTTCTAGAAGAAAATCATTGCAACCTCAGGTGAGGTAAGATCACTTAGCACACCAAAACATAACATAAAGGAAAAAATTGATAAATTAGACTTCATCCAAATTAAAATCTTGTGCTCTTCCAAAGATCCTTAAGAATATGAGAAGACAAGTCACCAATTGGGAGAAAATATTCGCAAACACATAAAGACTTGTATCCAATTCTCAAAACTTGATAGTGAGGAAGCAACCCGAGTAAACTGTGGGGGAAAGACTGGAACACGCGGAAGGCAAAGAAGCACATGGAAAGACACTCAATATCTTCAGCCATCACAAGGGAGATGCAAATTAAAACCACAGTGACGTACCGCTCACGTCTATTTGAATAGCTAACTAAAAACAGAGGTGACAATCCAACGGCTGACCAGGACTTGCAGCAATGTGCCTCCAGACCCAAGTGCTGTTGCAGACGCAGCGCGGAGCAGGCGCCTCGAGGCCAGGCTGGCAGGAGTGACAGGAGGGTGTCAGCATCTACCTCCCACGTGGCCCAGCAGTTTCGCTTCCCGGTGTCTGCCCACGAGAAGTGAGAGCCTATGCCCACCCAGAGCTTACCTGAGGATGGTCACAGCACTTTCTCTCTAGTCACAAAGCTGGAAGAGCTCAGGAGCTGGGTTGGTGGTCCTGATAGAATGCCTCTCAGCAACAGAACAGAGGACGTGGGCACCCTGTGCCACCCGGGTACTGCAGACGCACCGTACTGAGCCAGGAGGCTGCCGTGCGCGACTCCAGGAGAGGCCGAACAGAGGCACACAGCAGACCAGCGGCTCCAAGGGCTGGGCAGGAGTGTGGACCACAGAGGAGACTTGGGACCATGCTGGAACCCAGGGGCAGCTCTGTGTTTGTCGGCACACACACCAACTGCATGCAAAGAACATAGGGTTCCACTCTCAGTGAGAATGTTCTGGAGACAATGGTGTTGCTGGTTGCACAACAAAGTAAACATACTCAAATGACCCCGTGGCGAACTCAGAAATGGTTAAAATGATGTAGTTCATGTTCAGTGTGCTTTATCATAATAAAATCAAAGTTTTATTGTAGCTGATTATTCACTGAAAACAAAAAATCCCGTTTTATTGAAGTGGCACCCCCTTTCTCCTCAGAAACGCCCCCTTCACCACGGCTGATTTTGGGACTGTCAGCAAGAGTCTCTGTGAAGGAGTCCAGTGTAGATCAACTTCCTATTTTCGTGTCGCCCTGTTTACTTGGCCACTGGCTGAGAAGAGACCAGCACTCCAGGTGCTGGACACCCCCTTACTAGTTTTCACAAACGTATCCAGTAGAGTACTTTGAAGAAATGTGCAAACAAGGCCTCTGGCCTTGAGCTGGGCTTCACAGAGATGTCTACATTTTAAGATAAGTTACAAATGGGCCCATGGTAACAGCTGCAGGGGGAGGAAAGAGAGGGGAGAAGAAGCTCTCCCCCTCTCAGGTGTTGTCCTGGAAGAGTTAACTTGCCCAGAACAGTGAGAGAAAAAGCTGCTTTATGTGAACTTCTGCAGACTGGGAACTTCTGAGCCCCTCCCCTCACAGGCTGGGTATAAAACTCTGAAACTCCCTGAACTCGGGGTTCAGGGGACTGATTGATTACAGCAAAAGCTGTGCCCTCTGAACCTGGCTGCAGCCCAATAAACCTGCTTCCTGCTGTCTTCAGTGCCTTGCCTCGTCTGTCCCTACCACATTATGTGTGTGTAGAGCAGTTCACGTGTGAGGCACCACGTGCCCCTAATCCCAGCGTGCCTGCCTGCCTCCAGGAGGAGGCCCAGGAGACCAAGTGCTGCCCTGTGACTATAGCTGTGCCCAAAGGTAGTGTCCTTCCGCCTTTTCTGCTTTTGCTTTTAAATGGAAGAGACCTTAATTTAGTCACCTGTTGGGGGAAATTCTGCAATTAGGCCAGAAGAAATCAAGTAGGAACCCATCAAGAGGATGTGTTTCTTCTGCTCCCCAGGAGAGAGTCTGGGTGCCCACTGCCTTGCTGTCTGTGCAGGATGCCTCAGCACTCCAGGCCACGGAAAATCGCAGGTGCAACTCCAGGGTCTGAGTCCAGGGTTCTGCCTGGGCTCCCAGAGAGCACCCCCTGCTGCCTGAGTCTTCCTGCTTCCCTGGAGCCAGGGGTCCTTGCTCTGTGCTCCAGAGACCACCTGGTGATACGGATGTCTCCTGGAAACCAGGAGGGTCTATCAAATCCCAGTGACCATCCCTCCAACCGTCCCTGAAGCCTTTCTTCACTCTTCTATCTTAGTCTCTAAGCAGGACGCGTGGCCAATGGCGGACGGTGCCACTCGTTCACGGAGGACTTCTCTGTTGTTAGGAGCATTGGTGAGGACTCACATCTGCTTACTGAGAGAGCTAGCCGGAGCAGCTTGGGAAAGCATGTTGTGACTGAAAGCTCTGAAGACAAAAGGATCCGGGGGTTTGCGAGTGGCCAAATCTGAGACATGATAAATGATGCTAAGATAATGAGTTACAATCCACAGAATAAAACAAGAGGCGGTGCCATACTGACAGAAAGAAAGAACTAAATAAACAAATGGAAGATAATAATGTTTGGGCAAGATGAGAGCCACCCACGCCGCCCCCGTCAGTAGCATCACAAGCACTTAATGCAGAATTACGGCCCCAAATGAGCGTCACTTGGCACCACTGCAGCCAGGGGAGAAGGTTTGACTAGGGTGGGATACTCACAAGGTCTCAAAGTATTTCTCCACAAGATACGTGTTACGAGGAGTTTTAGTCAGCTTTTTTTTCCACTGCTATGGCTAAACAACCTGAGCAGTGTAACTGTAGAGAGGAAAAGTTTATTTAGGGGCTCACAGTTTCAGAGGTCTCGATCCAAAGCGAGCAGGCTCCATTCTTCGGGGCTCGAGCTGAGACAGGACATCCTGGCGGAAGAGTGTGGCAGAGGGAACCAGTTCACACAATGATCAGATAGCAGAGAGACTCCTCCACTCGCCATATACAAATACATACCCAAAGCCACACCCCCGGGAAACACTTCCTCCAGCCACACCCCACTTGCCTCCCATTACCACTCAGTCCCATCATGGATTAATTCACTGAGCAGGTTAAGGCTGTAACCCAATCACTTCTCTGAACTCTCTTGCACTGTCTCACATCGGAGCTTTTTGGGGACACCTCACCAAACCGTAACTCAACGTGCAGTGCAGCCCCTTACTGGGGCCACCGTGTGATACCAGCTGTGGTTGGCAGGAATGGGGCCAGCCGCCCTGTCCCTCCTGATGGTGCTCTGAAGACTGGGGTGCGCGTGTGGTGTTGGGCCAGAAATGCACAACCTGGACCGTGTCACCAGGAACTCCCAGGCATGTTGAGGAACACTGCAAAATCACTGGCTAGTGCTCTTTGAAAGTGACAAGGTCACAGAAATAAAGAGAGAGGGAAGAACTGCTCCAGGTCCAAGGAGAATGGAAACATGACTGCTAAATGCAGCCTGTGACCTGGATCAGATCTTGGACCACAGAGAGCACAGCAGTGGAGGTCAGAAGGAGTTTTTCTCCAGACAGGAGTGTAGCATCGTCAAATCGCCTGATCTTGCTGATGGGACCAGGGCTGGGGAGATATTAATGTTTGGTCAATCTGGGCAAAGAATATATGCAAATCCTTTTGACTATTTTTCAGCTCTTTCATGAGTTCAAAATGATTTCAAGATATCAAGTTTATAACAATGAAAGAGTTGAATGTGCTGTTATATTTTGCTGGAGTAGGCACTTTTTAACTTTTCTTTAAGCTAGCGATTTTGATCAGTGCCTATGAGCACACTGTTGAGGTGGTCATAAGGTGTCTCCTCTTGGTGTGTTTCTTGAGCCTGAGCCACCTCTGTGCTACTGGAATGACCCTTACCTGGTCATTTCACAATAGCAAATAACAATAGAAAGTTTTTGTCCTCCGTGTTAGTCACCCTCTTGTCCCTATGACAAGTGCCTGAGAAAAACAAAGGAAGAAAGAAGCATTCTGCCTCCCAGTGGCAGAGCTTGATTCCATGGTAGACCAGCTCCGTTGCTCTGGGCGGAGGTGAAGGGTGTGGCAGAGGAAAGCAGCTCAGCTCACTGCAGGTGGGAAGCAGGGAAAGCGGGGAGGCAGGGTCCAGGGGCAGATGTGGTTCCCACTCCTTCAACGAGGCCCCAGTTCTTCAGCTCCCAATAGCACCTTCAAACCATCACTCTCCTGACTGGTCAGAGAAAGTCCCCTTTCTCCAGCCCGCCTCTCAGCACGGCTGCACTGGGACGAAGCCCTCTAACGCGAGCTCCAGGGGAAATTCCAGACCCAAAGCATCATAGATTTTAACCCAGAAACCATCAATCCAGGCCTTGTAATAATCACAGATCAAAAGTCCACCACCTTCTATTCTTTAAAAATGACCCGTGTTCTAGGCCTTCTCCATTCCCAAATACCTAGTCCTCCTGCTCAAAAGTGTCCAGTCCACAAGACAGTCTATTGTTCTCCCCTGCCCTGTGGGCTCAGTGCATGCCCATCTTAGAACCACGGTCCGTCACTGCGCTCATCCACGTGTCAAGGGATTCTGTGATTCCACACACACTGGCTCCTGGCAGGCCGTGGGAGCAGGCGCCAGGAGGCAGTCCTGACCTCTCGGAGGCCGGTGGTCCAGAGGGCTCTCCTGGCCACTTTCAGTTCTGCTTACACTTTAGCACACACATTCCCAGCTCAATCCATGACCTCCTGATCAGAACCTCTGCTTTTGAGGCGGAAAAGTAGAATTTAATTAGCAACATGGACTCAAGAGCACCATGGTTGACAGCCACGTGGTCCCCTGTTGGTCATGACATAAACCACCAAGCAGACACACTCAGGAGGTGTAGGAATGAGAGGCACAGCGGAGGACACAATCTGAGCCACTGCATCCGGCCCCGGTGTGTTTGAAGCTTTTTACTCTCCTCATCCAGGGGACTGACAAAGGAAGGTGCTGGGGCTGCCTTCTAAGGAAGGGGCTGGGCCTCACAGGCTCCCACTGTATGAGGAATGCATACTTGGGGACACTCAAAATGTAGGACAGGCTGAATGATGCTCTTTCACAGCTCTACCCCGCAGGACTCCATTCCTCTGTTAAAGAAATCATTTTTGAGTATTAAAAAAATATATTGGGTCAAAGAGTGAGAGGTACCTTGTCCCTGGTGGCTCACCTGGTGGAGATACTGCTGCCTGTGCTCACCTAGTGTACTAAACTCTCCCAGGACCCGCGGTCTTCGGGGCAGCTCCGGCGGCCGTCGCCTCAGCCCTGCTTTGTGCACAGCCGTGCCTTGCTCTCCCCTCACACCCTGCCCCGCTCTGCCTTCTATTTGTCTGTCTGCATGGGAATCCCGAGTTGCTGGATGGCAGAGAAAAGCACTCTTCTGACTCTGTTTTATACCTGGCCAGGTGCTTGGCATCTAGGCAAGGACATGCAGGTACACTGGCTTTGTGTTTTTGATGGGCAAAATTTTGACCTCAATTTATTTTTATCAATTTTCCCCAGAGAAAAATCTTAATGTCCTATTTTGACTTTGATTCAGAGGAATATTTCATAGGCCTTAAGTTTAGAAAATAAAGTCAACTCAGTCCAAACACTTCTTAGGGACTGACTGAGGGTGTAGCTCATTGGTGGAGTGGTTCCCTAGCATGCACAGCCCTAGGTTCAATTTCCAGTCACACACACACACACACACACACACACATACACATTCTTAGGCAGTTCTAACTCAACAAAGCATCTCAAATTACCTCTAAGAAACCAGTGTACAGCTGATTTTAAATCAATAGCATGATCACTTGTCTCCATCCTATTTGTTCAAATAAAAAAATTGAATAGAGTGATTTCAGACTAATAAAGCTGTATTAATATTTGTATTAATATTTGTATTAATAAATGTTTACAACTAAAACTGCACAGTGGAAGATAAGATGTTATGACAGGAAGGAATTCGCAGAATCGGGAGGGTTCTGCTTCTACGTGGATATAGAACAGAAGTCTGACTCCTCATGACGTGCAGTAAGTTTTAGAGATGACTATAACGCACGGAGTGGAAAGCACACTGAATCCCTGTGAGTCACAGGTAGCCCTCCTGACGTGCCCTCCGAGGCCTATCTGCCCTGGGTGCCTGCTCTATGCTCTGGCCTCTTGTGAAGTCCCTCACGTGGACACACATTCACTCCTTTTGGAGTCGTTGTTCAGCTCTCTGCTCTCCGGCGATCCCCTTCAGCGTGCAGGGCTCCAGTTCACTACCGTCACCTTGTGAGCTATTATAACTGCTCTCCTCCTTTTCTTCTTCTTTTTCTGTTTGGCAGCTAGACATGGTTTACTTCATGCTTTTATTTGCTTTGGGCTTTGGTTTGTTTTTCTCCTATTAATAACACTGCAAGATCATTCTGGCTCGCATCTCCCTGTCGGGCTGGTGGCTGGCAGTGAAGTGGCTGTGTAAGCCTGCTGCTGGGCTAGTTCATTCAACTTGCCAAGTTACTCTTCAAAGCTTGCTCTAAGGTACACTTCTGTTGCTGAGGACAGACGAAGCTGGATACATGAGGAATTTTCAGGAAGCAGGTTTATTTAAGCTGAGGTGGTCCAGAGGGGCTCTTGCCTAAAAATCTCTGGGTGCGAGGTCTGGAGGAAAGCAGAATAGTATCATTTGCACAGCAATAAGCTTGACGCAGACCTAGGTTTTACAAGAAAGAGAAAGTTACAAATCACATAAAGCTCTGTGCAGAACTCCTGTGAAACCTTGTTGACACTCTTTGTAAAATCTTGCTGACAAGAAGCTTAATTATGGTGGGAGGGGTCACCAAAGAAGCTTAATTGTGGTCAGGTTCTTTTTTGCAGCCACTTCACACCCTCGCCAGCATTTAGTATCTCCCAACTCTTAGATTCTTACCAATTTGACAGATGAGAAATGCTATTGTTTAATTTGCATACATCTTACACAGAGTGAGGTTTAGTAGCTTTTGCCACTGTCATTAGCCACTTGAGGTCCCTCGCCTGTAGTCTGGGGTTCATTACCTTGGCCCACCTATTTCATGGGTAAGAGATGTGCACGTGCACTGGATACTAAGCCTTTATTAGTGGTATGTGCTGCAACTATCTTTTCCTGGTTTGTGGCTTATCTCTTCATATTTTAAATGATGTCTTTAAACACAGAACAGTTTCCAATTTTAATGAGATAAAACTTATCAGTCTCTGCCTTTGTGCTGTTATTTTATATCCCGTTTTATAAAAAAATTCTTCCTCATCCACTGAATTGTTAAGATTCTCCTTCTCCATACTCTTCTCCCCTTTATCCTCTTCCTCCTCCTTCATGTTATGGTATTGGAGATTGAATCCAGGGACCATCTACCACTGAGCCACACCCCAGCCCTTTTTGTTTTCTTTTGAGACAGGGTCTCATTAAGCTGCCTCAGCCTCCTGATTAGCTGGGATTACAGTAGTGTTTCACTGTGCACGGAGACACAATTCTACTTATTAGGCAAATGTTTATCAAAACTTTAGCATTTTTTCCTTCTCAGTTCCAAAGTATGTCAATGAGAGGTTTATTAGTGGCTTTAACAGTTTTTAATTTTGGTGATCTCAGCAAGCGTCATGGTAATTGTCTAAATATTACCACTGACTCTTCTCAGCAGGAAATCATTTTCAGGTGTGGTTTTAGTTCAAAGAAGATAGAGTTGTTCCCTGCTTACTCTAGATTTTGCTTTCTGAGGGTTCAGTAAACCATGGTCGACCTCCAAACGACTGATTTATTAATTTTTTTTGGAGTGCAGGGAATTAAACCCAGAGTCTGCTGGGCAAGCACTCTGCCATTGAGCTACAGCCCCAGCCCCAGCCCCATTGTCTGAAGATATTAAATGTAAAAATCCCAGAAGTAAACAACTCATGTTTTAAATTGCATACCATTCTGAGCAGTGTGATGAAATCTCTTGGGTTGTGAGTCATTTCTGCCCAACATATCCTACCCCTTTATCACTCAGTAGCCCTCTGACTTATCAGATTCACTGCCTCAGCATTGCAGAACCTGTTTTAAGTACTCCTTACTTTACTTAATAACAGCCCCACAGGGCAAATGCAATAAAGTATACTGTTATCAATAGTAATTGTTGTTAATCTTTATGCCTAATTTATAAATTTAACTTCATCATAGGCATGTACATATAGAAAAACCCCGTATATACAAGGATTTGGTATTATCCACATTTTCAGGCATCCACTGGGGGTCTTGGATGAGGGTTATTACTCCATCCAATATGATGATCCAATTTGATCATTTAAAAAAAAAAAAAAGAAGATGAGCTGGGCATGGTTGTGCATGCATGTAATCCCAGTGGCTCAGGAGGCTGAGGCAGGGGATTGCAAGTTCAAGGCCAGCCTCAGCAATTTGGTGAGACCCTGTCTCAAAAATAAAAAGGGATGGGGACTTGGCTCAGTGGTTAAGTGTCTCTGGGTTCAATCCTTGGTACCATAAATAAATAAATAAATAAATAAATGGAATAAAAAGAGATGACAGCAGATCCTTTAACTGCCTAGTCACAGAGTTCACGACTGAGAACCCCGAAGTTAAACTCTCTGGAGCCACTTCTGCGTTACCCTGACATCCTTCTCCTCCTGCTGTGCCACTGCTGGCTGCCTCCCCTCTAAGGCCTGTTGAATGCTGCTACTGGCATAGGCAGCTTATGCTGCTCTTGCCACGTCCAGCACTTTGTGGAATGCCTTACAAATGGCGGGGAGCCAGGGAACCCCAACAGCTGGCAAATGCCTTTTTGGACAAGTGTGCTCCTGCTTCCTTCAGTTGACAGGTATTTGTCTGCTGCTCAGAAACCCGCAATCCACCTTGTTTTCATTTCCTGCTGGTGAGAGTTGTACACTATATTAACCTTCCCATCCTCTGAGCAGGTCCTCTGGGAAGGGCGTGGGCATGGCCAGTGGCACTTTTGGTAATTTTCTCCCAGCCTCAAGGTCTGTGAGGATGCACCCCAGCTGAGGTGCACAGTGTGTCTGAGGGCTCTCACTGGGGTTAAGGGCCACCCGCTGCAGCCAGGCCCTGAAGAGCTGCCGGTGGGGAGGTGGAGGTGCTGATAAGATTCCTGAATCTTATCACCAGGTGCTTGGCTGCCTGAATCATGACCATTTTTCAACTGTTCTTGAGGCTGGGGATGCAGCACACCAGCAGTTCCTGCTGGCCATAGATTGGGATATGGAGTGGCAGAAAGTACAAGTCCCCCATACAAAGGGTACTTTTCCTTCTCCAGACGGACAAAGTGATGAGTGTCTACCACATAGGATGCTAGTCCTGGCTCAGATCCTTCTAGGTTGTATGGCCTTGGCCAAGTCCTTGATGCTCAGAGACCGAGTTCCTTACACTCTGCAAGGTGTCTTCTAATTCTAAATTTTATTATTCCAGAAGGAATGGGACAAAGGGTTCCTCCCTTTCTTAAAACATTTTCCATGTCATCTCACACCAATCAGAATGGCAGCTATCAATAATACAAACAATAATAAATGCTGGATAAGATGTGGAGAAAAAGGAACACTTATACATTTTTGGTGGGACTATAAATCAGTACAACCACTATGGTAATTAGTATGGAGAGTCCTCAAAACTCTAAGCCTAGAAGCACTCTATGTCCTGGATATACCATTCCTCAGGGTTTACCCTGGAGAAATAAAGTCACCTTACTACATCAATACCTGCCTATCCATGTTTATTACAGCACAATTCATGGTAGTCAAACTATAACCAGACTGCTAGGTGTCCATCAGCAGACGGATGGATGGATAAAGAAAATATGGTATATACATGATGGTTTTATTCAGCTATAAAGAAAAATGAGATTATGTGATTTTTCAGGAAAACGGAAGGAACTAAAGACCTTTATGTTAAGTCAAAAGTCAGAAAGTCAAGGGTCATTTAGTTTCTCTCGTATGTAGAAACTAGAGAGGAGAAAAAGAAAAAGGTGAGAGGTAAATCTCAGGAAAATCAAAGGAGATCAGTAAAGGAAAGGGATGAAAGGGTGGGAAGTGGGGAGGGAGGAAGTGCTGGGAGTGATATTGACCAAACTATATTGTCATACTGTATGCGTGTACAAATATATAACAACAATCCCATCAATATGTGCAGCTATAATGCACCAGTAAACGTGTGTGTGTGTGTGTGTGTGTGTGTGTGTGTTGGGGGGACCTTTGCCTGAAGTTTTGGAAGCTGCACAAGTGTGGGTGGTCCTGTCTGCATAGCTGAGATGTCCCTATGTACCTTGGGAAACCCTGCCCTCTCTCCTGCATACGTAAGGGAGGGAATGAAGTTCTAGACTTATGAATCGACTGCTGTGAGGTCACTGCACCATAAAAATCACTCAAGAAACATGCAGAGCTGTCATGGAGACATGAGTTTCATGAGATTTGTATTTAGCCAAAATGATTAATTACAGTTTCATTTTTTTCTTGCAGTAATCAACGATGAGATTTCTTGATCCAACCCACAGTCAACATCTGAGGAATTAAAATTATGGTTATTAGCAGTGCCAGCTTTTGAACGTGGCACACTCATTTATTGACTCTGGAATGTTTGACTCCTTTCAGTAAGAACTGTTCTAGTAACTTGATCTTGCAGATTTACCAAGGATCCTGCTACTCTGCTGTCAGCCACACAGAGCAGTTGGCTGGTGCTGGGTTGAGACTCCCTGTGGGGAGGAACAGCATCCCATTCATTTTTGTGTTTCTGCTGCTCAGCCCCAGGCCTGGCACGACTTAGCCCCAGAATGAGAACCAAGGCAGGGAGGGCACACAAGCCAATCCTGTGAGCTGGCACATGGGAGACCAAGTGCTCGAACAAGAATCAGATCACACGAAGAATTCAGACTCAGAGAAGTGAAACCATGCTGGCAAGAAGTGAGGGGAACCTGAACACTCTTTGGAAGTAAATATGTGACCTGGACAAACAGCCAAGGCCTGGTTCAGTTTGGGAAGTTATTTAGCATTGCCACACTCAGAACAATGTTCAACCTGCCTTTATACCATTCCCAGTTTTACAGGTAATTTCACACAGAGTCCCTGGCTCTCCACAATGTGGGAGGGGAAGCTGCAGTGGGCACCTGGGCCAGTCCTTGTCCTCACGTCCTCCGGGTGGCCATCTCCGCCCCTACTTTCCTTTGGTACGCAGCAGGGGCTGGGGGGATCAGCCAGCACTATCGCGATGCCCGTGAGTACTGTCTCTTATCAACGCTCTACACAGGCACCATCAGAAGCAGATCTTACAGAACACCACCAGCAGTGCCTCGCCCCGGGTTGTCCCGGGCATGGTCCCCCTGGCTTCATCCCCACATTTGAACTTCATCTCCTGTCACAGGGTGGGGGCTCTTTGGTGAGCAGCACTGATGGTGTGCTAGAAATGAGAACCAAAATTGCTGTTTCTCTGTAATCAACTGATGAGCTTTTGTCTTATGGAATTGAAGTTCCAGTGAACAATGAAACTCAAGACCTTGGATTTGCATAATACTGCAGTTGGTTAAATTCAGCAGATGCTTCAGGAGTGTGTCTGACATCTCTGTGTGGACTATTTAAAAAATCTTAAAATACTTAAAATTTATTGAAGGCTAAAATAAATGTGTATATACAATGAAATGCTCTAGCCTAACTGTAGGACACAGTGAGCTTCACGTGTGCCTTTACTGCTGTACCAGGACAGCGTCGCCCTATTCCTTTCAGTGAGCCTGCCTCATCCACCCAGGCAGCCAGCAGTCTGACTTCTGACGCTAGAGAGTAACGTGACCTTTTCAGAATGACACATAAACAGACTTATGCTTCATGGACCCTTTTGTTCGGCTGCTTTTGGTCTCAGCCCAAAATTTATCTGTGTTCTGTTTACCAGTAGTTGATTCTTCTGAATTATTCGTGATATTCCACTGTGCAAATATATTACAGTTTGCTTATTCATATATTATTGACTTTAGCCTGTTGTACTTTCAGGACACCATGAGTGAAGATGTAAACATCTTTTGTGTGTATATGTTTTCATTTCTCTTGGAAAAATTTATCGAAGCGGAATTGCTGAGTTACATGATAAGCATATTTTTACTTGACAAAAATGCCAAAGTTTTCCATAGAGGCTATATTATTTTAAATTCCCACCAACCCAATGCATGAATTACAGTTGCTCCACATGCTCATTAAGTCTGTAGACATGTTAGAATCTAAATTTGACTTTAATTTGCATTATCACAATCATTAATAATGTTTTTTTCATGTGCTTATTGGCTGCAGAAATATTCTTTGTACCCAAGAGCCTGAGCTTGGCCCCAAAGCAGCATTGTCTCCTTGGCTGTGGGGACTGCTCCCTGCCCCATACTCCTTTCCTGCCAAAGAGAACCTAGGAGTCCTATGGTCCTCTTGTGATATGGAAAGCAATGTGACAGCTAAAGTTTATCCATTGAGCCACATGAAATTGTCAATAAATGGCTATTCCCCTTTTTTAAAGTATTTGACTTAAGAAAATCGCAGTTTCATGTGGTTCACCCAACACTTTTTTTTTGCCACTTTTTTTGGAAAATTTTATTAGAGATTTTATTAGAAAATTTTATTAGACCCTGTCTCTAAATAAAATACAAAATAAAAAGTAACTGCCCCCAGATCAGAGGATGAACCACTACTGCGAGAGAACTCCGCCACTTTGCCATGTTTGCTGTCAATCACCATGATATTTGGCAAATGTATAAGAAAGCCGAGGCGTCCTTCTGGACAGCGGAGGAGGTGGATCTTTCCAAGGACAGTCAGCACCGGCAGGCCCTGAAGCCTGAGGAATGATATTTTATATCACATGTTCTAGCTTTCTTTGAAGCACGTGATGGCATAGCAAGTGAAAATCTGGTGCAGCGATTTAGCCAAGAGGTTCAAATTATAGAAGCCGGCTGTTTCTGTGGCTTCCAAGTTGCTATGGAAAACATACATTCTGAAATATATGGTCTCCTTATTGACATTTACATTAAAAATTCCTAAGACAGGGAATTTCTCTCCAGTGCCATTGAAATGATGCCTTGGGTGAAGAAGAAAGCAGACTGTGCCTTGTGTTGGACTGGGGACAAAGAAGCTACCTACAGAAAACGTGTTGTAGTCTTGGCCACTACGGGAGAAATCTTCTTTTCTGGCTCATTTGCATCAATATTTTGGCTCATAAGAACTGATGCCTGGCCTCACATTTTCCAATGAACTTATCAGCAGAGACGAGGGTTTACACTCTGAATTTGCTGCCCGATGTCCGAATACCTGCTACACACACCATCAGAGCAGAGAG